ATCTCCAACATTGCTGCTTTTTAATGGATCCCCTGAAAACTGGTGACCTGAAGCAGGAGAGTGGAAGTACTGTTGCTCAAGCTTCCTGGCTATCCTGAAGGTTTCCCGTTGCTGGCAAAATGCGAAACATGGATTCCCAGTGGCCCTGAACGTACCCTCTAACAGACTAGCATGGAACCCCATGTGAGCCTTTGCCAGGGACAGTAGGTTTACCAGAAGGCCCATCAGGTTTCCATTTTACCCTAAGGGTGCAAGAGCACAAATATTTTGTTTTTAGGTACCAGAACCCGGCAGACCATATTGTATTCGAGACCCAAAACCCCCAAATTTTCAAAACTTGGAGAAGCCTTAGGATTAGTTTAGAAGAAGGTACTTGGGGGGGTCACGGGGGGTGGTAAAAGTAGGTTAGTAAACTCTATAATCCACATCTCTAGTTATCCTAATTTTCAACCTACTTACTAAGTCCCCAGAACCCTAAACCCTAAGCCCTAAAACCTATATATATATATATAGTAGTTTCCATTTTCTTTTCCATTGTCACGAAGTCCCCCTGACCCTCCAAGTAAGCCCTGCTGGCAGGCCTGCGCTGCCTGATTCCTGACCGTCGGCCCTGATGATGTTGATGGACAATTCCCATGCCCAGGTTTAAGGGTCTAGGGTTTAAGGTTTAGATGCCTAGGGGATACTTAAACGTAATTTCCAGCTCTTAGACCTAAAGTTCAAGAAGGGATGTAGTTCTGTTTGAAAAACTGTCCCAACGAGGAACAAGATGGGCGAGTTTCTACAAAACCAAGGTTCCTCTATGTATCTTGGAATGTACGACATTCCATATTGTAGAGAACCCTTGCAGGGACGCCCAACTTTGGGAACCCCCCCAGGCGTGGCTATCAGTGTGAACGAGCTGCCAGATCTTTGCAGATGCAATCACCGTAGCGAAGAGGCATTTTCAAAGATGGTGGCCATGTCTTTAAGTTAGGAGGACCCCCACCCTGTAGTGGTGGTAAAATGGGAACATAAGAGGACCCCAATATAATCCTAATTATACCTTATAGTCACTATTACTGGGTAGGGGGTCCACCTAATCTATAAGCATCGCCCAGCTCTATCAACATCCGACTGACGGATTTTCGCACCCTAGGTTTTAGAAGCCGCCATACGGTGCCCCGCAGTTTTCCGACAGAAAACAGTTGCTCGGGGCTCTGCTGGGAAGAATGTATGTATCCATGTGTATTTGCCGTATGTATATATACATATATGTATGTCTGTATGTCTGTATGTCTGTATGTATGTATGTATGTATGTATGTATGTGTGCATGCATGCACACACGTACGTATGTATGTACGTATGTGCCTACGTATGTAAGTAGGTAGGTAGGTAGGTAGGTAGGTCCAAGAGGGGTGTCTCTGTGTATGTGTGTGGCATCTATGTGGTATGGGCGCACGAAGCTGTAAGGCGGAAGCACCGCACTGAAGATGTGGGGAATTGCAGCAGATTAGACCATCAGGGCTTACCCTCCACAGAGGCTCTATGGGGATTAGACGGTGGCTTAGGATGGTTTCAAGAGGCCTCAATCAAAATCTGGAACGCAAAGCCCAAGTTCAGCCCGGAATAATTGGAACAACTTTCCTCTTCTTGTCCAAAGTTAATGCCATAGCATGATATGCTTCCCGTGCCTACTACGTAGGCCCTTCGAGAGTACATATCAGTTTTTCGGTGGCAGCGGAGAGTTTAATCGTCAGGAGTTCGTTGCAAGGCTTGTTTGAGACTTTTAGGTGCTTAGTTTGTAGGCTTTATTTACCTCTTGATTTTTAGCTTTTTCATTTCCGGGCTTAGGGCGTAGAATCACCAACTGCAATTCGTACATTCGCGGCCTGAGGGTTCAGCTCTGTAGTCGCCGGCTTGATAAGGGGTTAACACTGAAAGCGGGGATTTAGGGATGTGTAAGTACCCTTAGGTCCCTATGAAGGGATGTGGGGTGATATGTTTGGCTTTGGAGTGGAAAGGGGAAACTATCAGAGGGCTCAAGGGGTGGAGAATGGGGAGTGAGTATAGGGTTTAGGGTTTGGGTTTAGGGTTTAGAGTTTAGAGGCAAAAAACAACGGGTTTGATCGGGATTGTTGAAGGCTTGTGCCCACAGAGTATTACAAGGCACTTTCTACACTTTATGTTGTATGGTCATTCGTAGGGAACCAACAATGGAGCCATGAAATGCACAAGTACAAAACCCCCGGTGACAGTTGAGCTTCAATAATCAAACTTAGCTGAGGCTTAAAGCCTAAACCCTGAAACCCTACGATTCCCCAGGACCTGGCAAACCCAAAGTCATCCAAAAACCCTAAGCCCCGAATCCCAAACCTATGCCCTTATACTGGGTTGCTGTTAAGGAACTTAAATTAAGTTACTATATTGGGGAAACCCTATTATTTACTATAGATATACCCTGAATCCCTGAAACCTAGGCTCCAAGCTGGACATGTTTGACATGTAGGTCTTAATAGCCCTGAACCATAGTTCAGCCTGGGATTTCCATGACCCTGCAAACACATACATCCTAAACCCTACCCCTAAACTCTGGGCTGCAAACCGCAAGCCTCGAATCTTGAGACCTAGTCCCCAAAACCCTAAGCCCTAAACGCTAAACCCTGACCCCTAAGCTTCAAATTCGGGCTGAGCCCTTGACCTTGAAGCCAACATTCGGAGCCTCAAAGCCCAGATCCCAAGCTTGGCATGACCTCAGACCCAAACTCTTGATCCCAAGCAATCGGTTTAGGGTTTGGAGTTTAGGGCACAACTCCTAAAACATAACAAGCCTGAAGCCCCAGATCTGTGACTTAGACCTCGCGCCAAAACATCCAGGTCCTACATCCCAAACTTTAGATATGAAGCTTCAAATCATAAGCCCTTAAATCCTCAACCTTACACCCCGAACCTTAAACCCTACATACTGCATGCATATACTTTGCTTCAGGGGGTTTTCCCAGAGCCCTACACCCCAAACCCCAAAAACACTGAACCTTAAACCCTACCTGCATTTTTTCCGGCTCCCAGCGGCAAACAAAGATCAGCCCAAGAGACGTGCCCGGTGCCGCTTCGCTCTCAGCCATGAAGCGCGACTCAGCTGGATGTGGTTGTGACATCGTGGTAGGGTTTAGGGCTGAAGGTCCAGGATTTAGGGCTTAGAGCTTAGGATTAGGGTTGAGGATTAGGGTTTAGGATTAGGGTTGAGGATTAGGGTTGAGGATTAGGGTTGAGGATTAGGGTTTAGGATTAGGGTTTAGGGTCACTGTTTTTTGGGGTTCAAACCCCGAGTAATGGCGCTGCGGATCCCTGTCTTAATCCTTGCAAAAGAGCAATATCCAGTCCCCCTTAAGCACAGGCAAGGCGAGAGATGTTGGGCTTCCATGGGGCTTGCGGGAAGATGGGGAGTAGCTGGGTTTATGTGAGTGTCAGATCCAGAAGTTACCCAGCAGGGAAGTTTTCTGGGATCGCTGAAGCGGATGTTTGCGGAATGAAATAGCTGCAGTGCTTTTGTAGCGATTTCAGCTGGTTTCGTAGACCTTCCGCCATCTTCCTGATCTAGGATGCATCTTGCGCAGGGTACACCAGAGGGACAACTCATTACCAGACATGATTCTTTTCATGAGGGTGCGGACCAGTGCCAGCTGTTCCGGAGGGAGCGGATGTTGACCCTGTAGAAAGTTGCTCGTGGCTCTTCTGAAAGACGGCCTCGCACAGGGGAATCCTTTCCTATTACCATTGCTATTATTGCTATGATTACTATTATTACCATTCCTATTACAATTATTACTATTACTGATCATGGTACCGTTTGTTGAAAATCATCTCAGGCTGAATCTCCACCATCGCGGGCTTAAGCCGCATGTGTGTTATCCCAGAATCCCGAATCTCGCCACATCCTCCCAGAGCCTCAATCTCTACATCTCCAGGCCCTCAAATTTCTGGCTTTCTAGGCCCGCGTCGTAGTACGCTGGTGTGCAATTACAGTTTTCTGTAATCCTATCCAGACCGATAGCTGGGGCCCTAACTCCTTTGGAGTTCCTCGGAGGCGCCACCTGAATCCATGCAAACCATGCAGGTAGTTTTGCCACAGTCACAGGTTTCAGCACCAAATCCCTGCCAACATATCCATAAACTGTGAAGAGTAAACCCTACTCCAGAACTGGAATTGCTACGCCGTAGCCAAAATATCCCTAACGTATGAACACATTGCTAAGCCTCAGGCCCTTAGACCCGAACTTCAGAGGTCCAGCAAGTTCCGCGGCAGGGGCCATCAAGAAGAAGCCGGTAGCTCTGGCTCCAAGCAGAAAGCTTTCATCAAATGAGCTAGAGTCTAAGTTCCTTAAAGGGGGTTATATAGGGGGATTATGTAGGGGAGTAGTATAGGGGTTATTAAGGGGGATGCTAGGAGTTTAGACTATAGCTCAAATGATGCTGGGGCCTAAGCAGTTACCGATTGTCATGGTCTTCTAGGGGTTAACCCTTATACAGGGATGTAATTGAAGGGGACATAGGAATGATGGAGAGTCAAATGGAAACGAACATGGAAGCTAAAGTGGAAGAAGGGTTTTCAGGATGAAACAATATGATCAACCGCATTCTTGTTTTGGACTCCTAGTATAATTTCCGTAAAGGGGTAAGTATATTGGTAGTTGCTTAGCCCCCTCCGGAAGAGCAGCCAGAACAGTAGTACCACCGCCTGAGGTGGAATTATGGGGCTTCAGGGTCTGAGCTTTGGGGAAAGTCAGGATTCCGGACACTTTTTTTGAACACCCACAACACAATGCTCGCTTGACTAGGCTAAGTCAGAACACCCAGCCCAAGGCTCTAGGCTTCCGACACCTTAAGCCCCAGAACCTGAACCCTTTAGTCCTCCTTTGCTGGTATGGATCGCCCATGGCATCGAAAGGGATCGTCTATCTAAAGACCAGCTGGGGTAACCCCAAACCCCAAACTCTTTTGGTTTTGCTGATGACCTAGGCAGGCAAGATGGTGACCCTGGAATTCCCGTTTCTGGGCCGTATTGGGTTGGGTCAGCGGAAGGGCGTGGGTGGGTCCTGCGCAAGCTTCATGAAAGCCAGCTGTCTGCGTTGAGGGTTTAGGATTTAAGGCTTAAGGACTGAGCTTCTGATGTTTTTTCTCCTCGACCTTGGGATCATTCCCCCTGACAAAAACTGCCTTCAAAGGGGTACTATGATGGGGCTCTTACAACTCCTATTGACTCTTTTGTTAAGTCTTAAGTATTACTGTAAGGCTGTAAGGGGCATCACCTAGCGTGAGCCAGTAACCCTGATGCAGCCTGAATGTTCGCTAATCATTACGATCTAGGGTTTAGGGTGAAACCCCCTTGTCTAGACCTGAGAAGCTGAACTGGTCACCCTACGTCCTATCTCCCAAAATGCTCAGGCTCAGGTATAGATCCTGAAGCCTGAACCTTAAGTCCTAACCCCCGAACCCTTAAACCCCCAACCCTAGCGGGGCGGGGGGTAGCGGGATAGGGGGCATGGGACCATCATCATCATCATCATCATCATCACCATTGTTGCTGTTTTGGGCCAACACTATTGTGATTTTGATTCTTGGTGGGGTTCGGCAGGGTGCAGGGGCCTAAACGATTCGAGCAGGGCTTTGCAGCATATCACGCTACAGCCGCTGCATAAGGGTCTTGAGGGAACAATATTGGGAATTATTCAGGCTTTAGCTATACGTGTGTCTCAGTAGCCCTCTACATAAACCTAAGTTCCGTTTCATATTTGTTTTCTTTTCCGTTTCATTCTCCATCATTATGCCCTACTCTCTCTACATCCCTACATATCCCTAGACATCCCTATATATCCTCACGTAGCCCCTTTCAAGGGCTGGTACCCGACCCCAGGAAGGGCTTCCTCTGGGGCAGCGCCACGGCGGCTTACCAGATTGAGGGAGCCGCCTTCGAGGGCGGGCGCACAGCTTGCCGCGCTGCCGCGTGAAGGTGTTTGAGTCTCTTGGGGTTAGGGTCTTCGGTTTAGGGTTTTGGAGGCAGGGTTTAAGTAGGTGTTTGGGGGGAGTTTTGGGTGAAGGGTTCAGGGTGGAAGTTTAAGGCCTTGCGTTCAAGTTTTGGGGTTTGGGTTTCAGGGTTTAAGGCTTGGGGCTTCGAACCTGGATCCTGAAAAGTGGCCCTTTGTAGACGGCTATCCCCTTACAAGGAGCCTATTCGGGGCTAGTTTGGGGAAGGGTAGGGTTTGGGGGTTTAGGGGTTGGAGTTGGAGTTTAAGGTTTGGAGGTGTGGAGGTTTGCAGTGTTTTGTGGTGGGGATCTAGAACACGAGGATTTCAGGGCTTACTGATTAGAGTGTAGAATCTGGGTGGGTGCAGGACTTGGGGTTTAAGGTTTAGGGTGTGGGGATTGAATGTTTTGGGCTTAGGAAGTAGGTTTTGGGTATGGGGTCCACGGGGCTTATGTCGACATCTGTAGGGCTAGAGGGGCTATTTATGGATATACAGAGACGTTTTAAAATGTGTAGAGTTCAGTAAGCTAACGTGGAAGCCTAAGAAAGGAGCTTTGAAAAGCCTTTCATATAAGACGCCTCCATTGAAGTGCCTCAAAATGACTCGCCTATGATACCTAGTAGGGATGCATCTAATCCCCTGCAGTCCCTGCAGGTCCTTAGTGTCCCCATGGCCCGGAATTTTTGAGAAGCCTAGGCCCTAAACTAAACCCTTCTGGGAGTGGTAGTACCAGCTCTATGGCAATTCTATGGGGTCTCCCTAGCTTAATGCTTCACTTCCCTTCTATAGATTCAAAGAATAACACCAGAAGGCTTGCACTTTTGTGGCCTATATGAATGACAGTACACAAGACCGAATGAATCCTCAGAAAGTCCTTCAGATCTCCTTCTACAGCTACGTTCAGTAACTGATGGAACCCCTATGTCCTCTGAACATTTCAAGGCATCTGGGACACGTTCTGTGCCACAGAGGGCAAGGCCAGACCATGGGGTTTAGGGGATCTAGGCATGTTCTGCACATTATTTTCCTTTTCCTTATATTGTCTGTTCTGAAAGTAATGTTCATGTTTTTTCAGTTGTTTAAACCCACCACCACAGATCTAGATATGATTCTTGGGAGGGTCACATGGGCAGATTCAGCTGGGGGGTTTGGGCCTTGAAGGGCTTGGGGTTTAGGATCTAAGGCCTAAGGCTATGCTGCGTAGAAGGCCCCCAAAAACATGGGATCATATTGGACCCAAATCCCAAATTGCCCCACCTAGGAATGAGAACAAGTGCCTCTTAATGACTGCTTTGCAATCTCTGCACCAGGGTAGAAATTAGAATATCTCGAATTGTTAGGCCATAGTCCTCATATCTTCTGCGATCCCAGAAATACCCCCTTTGGTACTTAAGTTTCGCAGGTCAAGAACGGGGACAACGGCACCACCGCCTGCGATCACTACCATCGCTTCAAGGAGGATGTCAAGTTGATGAAGGCGCTTGGGGTCGGTTGTAGCGTTCAGGTAGAGGTTGACCCTATGAGCCCCGATTTTTCAACTCTAACCCCCAGACTTTGGAGCTTTAAGCCCGAAAGGCTTAAACCCCCCAAAGCCCTAAACCCTGATGCACTGAAAGCCTAAGGAGTTGAATCTTCCAGCGCCTAAACCCTAAACCCTTGAACTCTAAGCCCTAAACCCTGAAGTGCCCAAGGAGCTGAATCTTCCAGCCTACCGCTTCTCCATCTCCTGGTCACGACTTCTGCCGAAGGGGCGAGGAGAACCGAACCCAGAGGCCGCAGATGGAGTTGGAGGGGGTGAGAGTGGGGCTGGAGTTCACTGAGATATCGGGGTGTATTGGGTCTAGAGTTCAGGGTTTATAGGTTTGGGGTTGGGGGGTTTCCAGGCTTTTGGCTGTTTGGCGGTTTGTGTGCCGTGTATGGGTTCGGGTTACTGGGTTAGGGGGCAGGGCTTACTAAAGTTTACGCTTTGGGGTGCTGTGAAGCCATACCTTTGCCTGAACCTTAGCTTACTCTGGCTCTTATAAGGGAATAAGGGAGGGTTTAGGGTTTAGATAATCCCTGTACAATATATTCAGCTCTAAACCCTAAGCCCTTTGTAACCCCATACAAAATGTATTCCCTCCTTCCCTGCTAAGAACCAGTAAGTCAAGCAGGCCATAAAGTTCTACGGAAGCCTGCTGGATGAGCTGCTGGCCAACGGCATCAAGCCACTGGTATCTGTCAAGTAATGTGGGTGTCCCAAAATGAGGGGTTCCCTGTAATGAGGAGTACCGTAGTATCTTGGGGTCTAAATTGAGGTCTCCTATTTATGGAAACTTCTTAGAGCGGTTGAAGTTTCATCATTGTCTGATAAGAATCTTCATGCTGCTTGACCGGAGCCCCAAACATAACCCCAAACCCTAGACCCTAAACCCTAGGCCCTAAACCCTGAACCCTAGTTGAGGGTAGCTTGGTTTGGAAATATCCCTTGCCACTCTTCTGAATACCCTCTAGTAAGCAGTTATCACGTTTTGAGATTTATCTCGAACTCCTATTCTTACTCATGCATGGTTGGGAGTGGGGGAAGGGATCCTCAAAGTAGTCTGATCGAGATCCCCATAATCATCCGTAAGACCCATTCTAAGCCTTGGACCCCAAATTCAGAACCCCAAAACCCAAAACCTGGAACCCTCACCCCCAATATCCCACACGCCAGGCCCCAAACAACAAAAACGCTTAGACCTCAAAGCCTGACTGAACCGCAAATCCCAGCCTCAAAGGCCCTTGGCCACGATCTACCACTGGGACCTGCCCCAGTGCCTGGAGGATGAGTATGGGGGCTGGCTCAGCCGCAAGGCGGGCGAGGGCGAGGGGGAATAGGAGCTGTAGTCTCAGCTCCAAGAAGGGGGGTTATACAGGGGATTGTATCGGGGACTACCATAGGGGATTTTAAGAGGGATACTATGAGTTTAAACTATAGCTTATATAGGGATGTTATTTATAGGGGTATATAGGGATTTGTTGGGTTTTGGGTTTAGGGTTTGGGGTTAAGGCTTCGGGGCCAGGGGGACTTGGTAAGTAAGTCAATCATGCGATTGTTCGGGCTACCATATTGTGTATCGAGATTTTTAAGTATACAGCATACACTAAGTCCCTCTGACGTTCCAGGCAATATAACGTCCGAACATGTAAGGATTCTCGGCGTATTGCACCAGGTTTGGGCTTTAGGGCTTATTAGCTTGCGTAGAGGGTCTATAGGGGGCCTGGGGAGTACATGTCTCAGCTCTTTGTGCAAGATTCACGGCCAGGAGTTGGTTTTAAATACTGGCCAAAGGTCTCCATATAGCACTACAAGGTTGTTGATTGAAGTTTTGTTTGCAATCATGACATTAGTTAAAAATCCTCAAGAGTAGGCCTCAAGTAAGACTAGTCTAGGCGTGGTAGGATGTACTAAGCATCTTGTATAGGGATATAGGAGCTTAATGAAATCAACATTTTGCAGGAGATGCTCTGGCATTCCTCCTCCCAGGAACTGTCCTGAAAGGGGCTTTACTACCCTTGGGCTACTACAACCACTACCAACCCATTCTGGCAAGTGTGACTGTAGGAGGGAATGACCAAAAGAAGATGCGTGGTAATTTTCGTAGTGGTCTGGATGGTACTGAGACCGTAGTAGTCACGCGGTAGGGCTTCAAAGAGATGAAAACCAGGCGTTCCTGATGGTTTAGGGTTTAGGTTCTGGAGTACTTTGGGTTGGTTAGGTTTAGGGTAGAGGGTTTAGGGCTTAGGGTCTGGGGTACATTTTGGAGCCTGGCCATGATATCCAGTTGTTTTTTTGTCATATTCAGCGGGTGGGGGATCACCTCAAAATGTCAGGGCTTCAGGTTTGGGATCCCTAAACCCTAAACCCTTAGGGTCAGATTTGTTCTAGGAAGCGAAACATTTGGTAGGGGTGGACACTGAAAACAAGCACGAGCCTTTCGAGATTGGTTCTGACATGTAGGCAACAGCATGTAAGGTCAGAACCCTAGGGATCCTTTATAAACACTTTCTACTTCTTTGGGGGTATGGGTTTCTGTACAAGGCTCCAAAAACACTATTTATTTCTTGCTGAGGGGAAACATCGACTAAGAAAGCCGTAAGCCTGAAAATGCCGTACCTGCCTCCTGGGAAGGTCGTCGACGACTTCGAGCACTATTCGGTCACCTGCTTCAAGCTCTTCGGCGACCGGATCAAGCCAGGGGCCCAATGAATGTGCGCCTAGGGCTTAGGTACGTTGATCCCTTAACCCCTCAGCCCCTACACCTCCAAACCCCTAAACCCGAATCATCACTAAACTCCTACACTTAAACCCTAAAGCCTAATCCATGGGCTTAGGTTTGGGGGTTTGGGCTTCAGGGCTCATGGCTGAGGGTTTAGCCCTCAGGATTTAGGCGGGCTGTCTAAAGTTTAGGGTTGTAAGATTTTGAAAGGAAGCTTTAGGGTCTATGAAGGGCCCTTGAGCCTTGCAGTAGCATTAAACCCCGTTGTGTCGATGGGCATGTATATACCAGGAGCGTGGAGCTTTGAGATTGTATCATTTGCAGCATGTAGTACGACATGGAGTGCATGTTGTATTGTTCAGGGAAGGGAGAACCTGGCAAAACGGCATGCAAATGTTTTGGCGCGGATCTCGGTTTTGGTTCTGGTCACGGACTTCAAGCTAGAGGTGGAGCAGCTTAAGAAGTGGAGCAGCTTGCTAAGGTCTTGGATCACTTTTAATGAGCCCTGGTGCTCCACTGTACTGGGTTACGCCAACGGCGAGATGGCCCCGGGCAAGAAGGACAACAATCAGAAGCTGTGGGTTCAAGGTTCAGGCTCCAAGGTTTTGAAGGCATGAAGGATTCAGGCTGTTGGTTGACAGTTTGAGGCTTGTACTTTCAAGAGCTTTCATTGGCAGATGTTGGGCTTGCGCAGCATGAGAAGAAGTGGCGTCAAAGCGAAAATCTATAAGGATGCAGAAGAGGCAACTGCCTTCATTCCCTCTTCACAAAGCTACTTGCCGTCTAGACTGTAACCCTAAACCCTAAACCCCCAAACCCTAAACCCTAAACCCCTAAACCCTGAACCCCTAAACGCCTAAACCAGAACCAAAGCTTGCAATGCGCGCCCTTTGTGTAATCATGGCCTTGGCCCGACTCCTATACTCTGGAGCCGACGGTCCTTTCCTGGTTTGCTGTTAAGGAACTTAGATTAAATTACTATAGGGTTTCGGGTTTAGGATTTAGGGTTTAGGGTATATTATCCCCCTATAATGGAGAATCAAATGGAAAAGAACATGGAAAATGAAATGGAAACTGGGGGAAGATAGGGTTTTAAGGGACTTAAATTAAGTTACTATATTGGGGAAACCCTTTTATTTACTATATATTCCCATTATGGTAACTTAATTTAAGTTCCTTAACAGCAACCCAGTTTCAGAAAGGCTAGAGGTGAGCAATGCATTGAACAATGCGATGACGAGTGGTGTCAAAAGTGCCTTAGCCCTGAGCATCCACGTTTGTCGTTCAATCTAAAGTTGCGAAGGACCCCAGCCCTCTTCCTAGCCCGTTCCTTGCCAGACGTACTCGTACTCCCTGTAGACCACCAAAGTATCCCAGTTTCCATGTTCTTTCCCATTCATGTCTAAATTATTCCCATAAGCCCCAATACCCTAAACCCTTACATCCCGACAGCCTTCCAAGCCGGGCATGAGTCGAGAGCACCCTGAACCCTAAACCCTAAACCCTAAACCCCCAAGAGCCCTAAACCCGAAACTCTAAAGCCGGAGGCCTGAATCCTGAACATCGAAACCCTACATGAGCTATAGTCTAAACTCTATTAGAGGGAGGGTTATAAAGGGGATTATTAGGAGCTTAGACTATGGTTCACAAGGTATCTAAAGCCGACAGTTTAGTTATAGTGTAGGAAGATACTGAGCCTGGAGCTCGTCTCCAAGCCGTCTAACTCTCTAAACCCAAGCCTCCAACCCCAGATCCTCTAAACCTTAAAGTCCTACCGTTAAACCCTTATGTGTATCCCCATAACCCACAAGAACTTACCGGTGGTTAGTAGGGAATAGGGGAATATAATCCCTATGTCCCCCGGATATAATGTATTCCCTTGTTCCCTACTAAACACCCTAAACCCACAGCCCTAAGCCCCTAAATACCTAAACCCCCAGTAAAAGAAAGGAGAAGCCAGAGACGGAGCCTTACATCGCGGCGCATCACATCATCCTAAGCCACGCTCGCGCGGTCGGGAGCTGAGAAAGTCTCATAGAGGTGTCGGGGAGTTGAGGGGTTTTGGGGTTGTAAGGATTTAGGGTTTTCAAGTTTTTAAGGGCATAGACGTAACGTAGTTGAGGGGTTTTGGGGTCGTAATGATTTAGCGTTTTTCAGTTTTTTAAGGGCTTCTAGGATTCCCAGTTTCCCCAGTTAAGACAGACTCTCTAAGAAACCGTCCTCATTCCTCCCAATTCCCTGCTAGGGGTAAATGTTTTCGGGAGTTGTCCGATTCGGGGCCCCTGAGGAATCTACCCTTTGGGGCTGTAGGGTTTGGCGGGCGTTGAGAAGTTTCAAGTGCGTGTAGTGTTTTTTGGTGTTTGTTGCATTGAGTGTTCGGGGCTGGCTACGTGATGGCATGGGGTTTCTAGAAAGGGGGCATACACGGGCATAAAGGGCATTCGCAAATCCATGCTTCCCCTATGAAGCACGATGGCGCATCAAACTTGGGTGAGCAGCAGAGCGATTGCCTTTTGGAAGCTCCCAGTTTGGCATCCTAAGGACAGAAGATGTCGTATTTGAGAAGGCGCATGGGAGAAATCCATGTGAAGCTTTGGAGTAGAGGAGAGTAGGGACTAGGCGTTCTGGCATTCTACGACCGGCCCTTGGACAAGTAAATTAGTTTTGGGTGCAGCGTGTGTGCCCAAAAGCATGCTAGAATCCTGGTAAAGAGAGGTTCACCGAGCAGAAAACAAATGCTCAGCCAAATCTAAGAGCCAAAACCCAACCCTGGACCAGAAAGATGGCTGATACACGTCCCATGAACAGAATTGTTGCAGCTGCAGCCACGGTCAAGTAATACCTGGTATATACTTAGGGCCCAAAGGGGTCCCCATATCCCTAATTCAGGGACCAAGTATAGACCATATAGGTGGTTGTCAAAATTATGGTCCTTTTTGGGATCCCGATTATAATACGGCACATAATCTTGACAGCCACCTATATAGCTACATGGACCCTTTGAAAATGCCAAGGTCAAGAGATACCGCGATGAGTTCAAGGCTAGGCAGAAGGGAGACATCGGCATCACCCTCAACATGGACTGGAGGCAGGGTTTAGGGTTTGGGGTTTATGGTCCAGGGTTTCCCCCTCCCCCAAAAGCAATGACAATGTGTAGCCTCATGACTCATGGCCTTTTTTATTAGGAGACAGCATTTTCTAATTTTTGAGTAGTGGCCCCAAGTTAAACCGTAAACCCTAAATGCCATCCCACCCTGTAACCTCAAAGCCCGCAACCTGAAATTCAACCTGCAAGCCAACCCCAAACCTTATAACCCTTAATCCCAGCCCTGGACTGAATCCCTCAACACTAAACCTCAAATCCAAAACTTACTGGTTCTTAGTAGGGAAGAAAGGAATTTAATCCCTATAATCTGTATAATATCTGGAGACAGAGAGAGAGATACATATATATATATATATTCCTGTACATTCCCATATTCCCTACTCAGAACCAGTCAGAAACTCCCATTCCTAGACGTCAACCCTAAACCCAAAATCCTAAACCATGAGTGCAGGCAACCTCTGACGGAAGATGAGGGCGACAAGGCGGCCGCACAGCGGGCCCTGGATTGGCAGCTGGGCTGGCCCCTGGGCTCCCATACAACATGTCCACGGAGGTCCAGGGTCTAGGATAAATGGTTCAGGGTAAATAGAATTCATGGGTCAGGATTCGAGTAATGGAGAGTCCCATGGAAAAGAAGGACATTGGAAATGAAGCAGAAACTGGTATTATGTGGAAAGGTAGGATTTAGCTTGGTGTTTGGGATTCAGGGTTTGGGCCTTAGGATTGAAATGGAACGTGTAGGTTTTACAGTTTCTTTGTAGAGTTTCTTGAACTGTCCCAGCCGGAGTCCTCCGTATCCTTTTCATCTCTTCTCACAGTGACTACGCACGAATTTGGAAGCACGGTTTAACATGGACTTCAGGGCTAATGCCTGTACAGAGTCAGCATTTATCTTGAAGGGTTGCTGGCATTCTGTTCAGGTGTGTGCTGATGGATGCTGCGGATGATGACAGCTTGAACGGAAGCAAGTCTACACAGCTCCAACCCTGTCTCCTGAGCACTGATCCTTACGCTGACTGCTCTCCCCGCACCCGCGACAGGTTTGCTGATCCCATCTGGAAGGGCGACTATCCAGTGCCTTTGTTGTGAATTGGTGAGTTGTTAAAGTCATTCCAGTGTTTTCGGCTCTGCGGGAAATGAGCGGAGAGAGAGGGTCACGGGGTCACTCTTTCTGAGTGAGTTGGGTGGGGGTGCAGGGTTCAGCGTTCTTAGGTGGAGCGGACAGGTGCAGTCAGGAGTTTGCGTAGGGTGTGAACGGAAGGCCCGCTTTTTTGAAGATATGTACGCCTAAGCAACAACAGTTGTCTTCAAGCAGCTCAAGCCCTTGGCCCCCAATCCTCAACCCATATTACCCCAATATCCACCCTATAATCCCTCCGTAAACCCTATAGAACCCCACTATAGTAGTTTCCATTTTCTTTTCCATTATACCTTTTTAACCCCATCATATAGGAGAGCATGCGGAAGCGCTGTGGTGACCGGCTCCCCAGCTTCTCGGAGGAGGCACCACAGATGCCAGGGCTGCATTACGTAGCGCCAGATGCAAGGAGTGGCCTAGACGGTTTAGGGTTTAGGGTTTAGGGCCTAGGGGGATATAAGTCCTCAAATCACTGTGTAGGCTTTGGCCAAGCCTAGCGTTGTCAGTGCTTAGCACGAAGGTTGCATGTGCATTGTCAAAGAAGATCATGTCGAAACATGAACAATTACCAATATTGTTCACCTACGACCCCTACTGCATAATAAGCCACAAAGCCTTGCTGAAATTGAAGTTATTTGGGTCCCTAAATTTAAGCCTGGAGTCGCTAGCCGATCCCCACTGTCAAGCGCAGGAGAAGGCACTGATCAAGGGTACCTCAGAGTTTTTCGGGCTGCACCTTTGGCGGCATTTAGGGCCTCAGACTGCTGCCTGCTGTTTTTGTTTGGGCTTGCGAGCCTTCAGCTAAAGACTGCTGGGAACGTGCAGTCTCCAAGTCCTGTCAGCGCAACTTCCGCAGCGAGAAATGATGGTTCAAAAGCATCACAGGGGATGCCTGATCTAAAATGTTGCGGCGCTGGGTCCCATGGAGGTGTAGCAGGCATTGCACAAAGAAGCTGTTGCCCATCCTTCTGCTGGGAGTCCTTACTCTGGGCCCTGCAACCTTAAGCCCACCAGCCTGGTGGAGGGCAGGCCGCCCAAGGAGTGTGCACCGCAGCTTCGCGGAGGTGGAGCTGCTGTCCCACCTGGCTGTGCTGCTGATGCCGGAGGAGCCCATTGGGGAGCTCTTCAGGGACTTCCCGGTGGAGCCCTCGGAACTTTGGGGGGCCCGCTGGCTGTGCCCTGATATCGTCGCGCATGGCATGTTCCAAACAGAGGACGCGGCCCTGTTCGTGGAGTACGACGGGCATTACCGGCACTATTGTGAGAAGGGTCGCCTAGCAGATGAACGCAAGACTGACGCCTTGCTCCGGTACGTACCTCCTGGTTCGTGCGTGCTGCGGCTGGGCCACTGCCATCGCGGCATGGAGCTTTCGGGGCACTCCGCAGAGATCACAGTGGACGCGTGGCGGGCAGGCCAGAAGCAGTCGCTCATGAAAGCTTTGAATGAAATAGTACTTTCGCTTCTGGCACAATTCCCCAATCAACTGCGACCTGATCTTCGGCAACGTCTCCTGGCTTTTCAAGCGCGCAAGGCCTATAGTGGTTTCCAGGATGCATGCACATTTGCAAGTGAGGCGCTTCTAACGCTCGACATTGAAACCAAAAAGGCTGCTGTGCAGCAATTTCTTGACCGGGAATTGAATATCACAGAAGAAAGAGCTAACCGGATTGCACGAAGCTTTCCTAGCCTTTGGGCTTGCAGCATCCAGGTAAAATTCTTGCCCACAGTGGCATGGCTCGAAGATCTTGGGCTAAGCCGAGCCCAAGTGGCCAAGGTCATTGCTGGTTCTCCATCAGTGTTGGGCTGTAGCATTGACGGCAATCTGAAGCCCACAGTGGCATGGCTCGAAGATCTTGGGCTCAGCCGAGCCCAGGTGGCCAAGGTCATTGCTTCTCAGCCTCAGGTCTTGGGCCTGAGCATTGAGGGCAATCTGAAGCCCACAGT